TAACTTTTAAACCACAAATATGTAATTTAATTGCATTATTATTAAACAGAGTACTTACTGTGTTAATTGGCACTTATAATTATTGAAAGAACTTTCAGTTTAAAAATAAATCAAAATAACCGGTAATCAAAAATCGCTATCCTAGTAAACATTACTGATGCTTCTTTTTACTCAAATAAAAGATTACTTATGAGGTTTCAGGAACTATTAAGCAAAGTATCCTTACGTACGTTACGATATTTAAGTTCATTTGGCGGTGCTGCCATATGTTCACTTCATTTACACTTTCTATGCAAATCACATTTTCAAATGTCAGTTTAAATTTTTCAAAAGAAAAAGTAACTTCCAGTTATTTGAAAAGTTTTTTTTTAATTACATCAATTATTTCAATTGAATTAATAACTTTAAAAAAACTTTTTTTGTTTGAAAAATTAATTTGCGATTTTTTTACTGTATATATTGACGATTTTTTTGCTATATAAATTAAAAAATCTCAAAAAAACTATTTTTACGTTTTTACGCGCAAATTTGAAATCTAAAAACAAACTTCAGCAATATAACTTATCTCAAACTAATCAATGAAATATTTTGAGAATTTTTAATTTTCAGTAGTAGAAAACTGCCGAATCATCACGAAGAATTGATGCTGAATGCCTCTCGACTTTCAGAACGTTTTGATAAATGTGGCATCAGTGGCAATAATGACACAGTCAGTGTACTACTTCCTTCTGGTTCCATTATATATCTTCAGCAAGTATCGGCCGAGAATTTCACAGAAATTTTACGTAAAGTAAGCATTTCTTAGCAAAGTTAATGAGACATTAAGTTATACAATGTATTCCGCAAAAATTATTTACACTTCAAATCATTCAAAAATTTTCTTCTGATTTGTTAATATTCGAGAAATATTGAATATTTGTATGGTTCCTACTTAAAAATTATGGTCCTTTCTTTAAATTTTTTTTATTATTTAAAAAATAAAATAATAAAGTTTTTATCCATATTTGATTGTCTGTAAATACCCATAATGCATTTTTGTATGCAAATCCAATTTTAATGAAAACGTAGTTAATTCAAAATTCAGGTTTGTGAAGAGCTTAAACTTGATCCGGAAAATTATTTTATCATAAAGGATAGTCGAGATCGAGTACGACTGCAAGAGCGAGATTATAGACTTGAAAAAAGAAATCGAAGTCTTGGATTAACAATATGTGCAAAAATGTGTGATGGCAATGAAATTAAGGTTTTTTATACTACATTTAAGCAAATTTTTTTTGGAAAAAACAATCATCCTATATATCAAACATGATAAGCTGCTGCTATACTATCACTTCACATTACACATTAAAAATCTTAAAAAAAAGATTTTTCATGAAATTTGATAATTACTAAAACTATATCTATTTTTCAGTCAATTTAAAAACATACTTTAGCAATTGCAACAAATAAAACCAATTGCAAAAATTTTTAAAAAATGCTAACTTGTCTTGAGCCAAAAAATTTTTAATTTGCTATTTTTTATTTTTTATTTACTTGATTATGTATTTAAATACTAATTTCTTTAAATCACAACTCTCTCTACATCACTAATCAAAAAAAAAAAAATCGAATGAAGTCAGAATTATGCATAATTAATTAATTCAAAATTTTTGCAAGTCTGTGAATTAGTAAATACTTTTCTCATTTCAAACACTTTTTTCCAAAAAAAATTCATCAAGTAAAAAAAGAAAAACCAAAATCTAATGGCTTCTTTGCTCACACTAAAATCCCATCATTAGCTAACTATTCTTATTTTAATGTTTATTTCCGAAATTACATTTGATCTGTAATAATTATGCATAAGTATTATTTGGTATTTGCAAATATTAATGACCACTTGTGAATACTCTCAGCAACTAAATATGTCAACACGTCTCAACTGCAAACTATCATTTTCACAACTCCTAAGATCTCTCGGGAATCAAACCGCTGATTCTTAATCTTCTTTCACCAAGCTTTCGTGCATTCTTGCATTTATCCTCCAAAGTAATTAACATTACAAATTTCTATGATTTCATTCCATTTAATTCTCCCTCAAAAAAAAATGACAGAACTGTTACTATAAATAAAGTATTCCTTAATCATTCTCTGGTGACTTGTACAATTTTGACCAACGTAACAAAATTTTCTTACTAAAAAACAGCTACACTAACTTTTATTGGCTTAATTTTCTTAAAACGTTCATTTTTGTTTCAAACAACAACAAAATTTAAATACTACAGCATAAATTATGTTTTCATACAAATAATGAAATTCAAAATTCAAAAACTGTGTTTTGCGAAAAAAAAACCTTCTGTTTCCATAATGAAAGTTTGCATAATAACTAATTACCATGAAATATTCTTATAATATTTAAGATATCAAGATTATTTAAATAATAAATATGAAATGCAATATTTAAGGCTGAAGTTCGTGCGATCCGTGACAAGACAGCTTGTGCTGAAGTAGGTGATCTTGTAATAAGTGTTGATAATCAACTAATCTCTTCCCTTCGGAGTGCAGAAGAGGCTCAAGCATTACTACGTCATGGTACCAACCTCGTGCTACGTAAACGTGACGCAATCACACCACAATATGTGAAATCCAATCTTTCATTACCTACTCCGTTACCTGCACCTAGTAGTAAAACATCAAGTAACGATACGAATGAAAGATTAGCACCTTTGCCACCACAACCTTCATCAAGTAAGAATCGGTCACATAGCATGGATCGGATATCTGATATTTCATCTATTCCTCGAACTGTAAGTTTTTGCATTTTTTAAGTACATAAAGTAAGCCTTATGCATCATACATTTTAGATTATTTCATATTTTTCAGAATTAAACTCTTAAATAGAATTTTAGGATCGTCGAAATGGATCAACCTGTTCATCACCTACACGAAGTGTGGACAAAAATCACCGTATTCCATTCAATAGTCATTTTTTCCGAATTATGTCAAGATCTGCATGTGATAAAACGTCCAGACGTGAAGAACGTCGTCATGCTACACTCAATGGTTTTATATCACATATTAGTACAGGTGCAGAAGAACAACTCTTGAAAACTATCAATGAATTAGTAATAACTGAGGAAAATTTCGTACGCGATGTTCAGAAGGTTTATATTAATTGTATCGCAAATAAAAATAATGATTCCTCAAAAAGTATATTTGCTGCATCAATTTGAAATTTCAGAAGGCAATGTTAGAGTTGAATTTTATAAAATTTCACGCTTATATTTAAGTCTAATTTCGCTCATTAATTAAAGATCTCTTAAATAAAAGAAATAAAGATTAAGTTATGATCTATATGAAGACAAAAAAACGATTGCAAAAATTTTTGAGAGATAAAACAATATGTGCATAGTATTATAGATACTTCTGGATACAATTACCATGAATAAGATGCATATACTAATTATACATTTTTAATGCATGGTACCTCAAAAAAGTTTCACTTTCCTGCATTCTTTTGTCCCACTAGCAAAAATATTATGTTGCAAACATTCTTTATTTCTTATAAAAAATTACCACTTCAATCTTTTCAAAAAAACTTCAACTTGAATATCTGAAAAATGGTATCAGAAATTTTTAGAAATAAATACGCAATATATGCGTGTTACTAGTGAGAAAACGGGTTCTAATTAATGTTTTTAGGTCATAAATTTGTCTCTGTGTACAATTATATTTGCATATTTTTTTTTCAAAAAAAGGATACTGAATTCATTCATAATATAATAATCAAACAATCTAACTCTTCCAGTTAGTAAATCAGTACTTGAAACCAACAAATTCAGCAGTACTAGAAACAGCTGATCGTTTACTTAGAATTCAAACATCGTTCTTACTTTCACTTCTTGATGCAGCTGGAGATGTTGCTCATGCATTCATTGCTTCACAACAACAATTACGTGTAAGACTAACAATTTTAGACTAATTTTATTAGTATTGAACTGAAATTTTATGCATCATCTTTTTTCATCTTTTGATCTGTAATGGCAATAAATTTTGATTACAGATAATATAAAATAAAATGATCAAGTCTTTCAGTCCAATTAATCAAATAAAATTTTTTGATTAAATTTTTTTCTAGCATTTAGTAACATAATAATATAATGACTTGTAGATTTTAAGCTGTAAATGTGTTCAATAAGATTGAATGTTTTCAGGATTCATTAATTCGTATCTCGGCCTTATTCATTAACAAATGTAGCAAATTCAAGATTTACAGCGATTATTCGGCTGCGTATTTAAGATTTCAACAAAATGAACAAGGTATCATTTACGCCATTTCAAAATTTTGAATAATTCTACCACATTATTTCACTTTTTTCATGTAATAATTTGATGATCCGTGAAAGAACAACAAAGTGAACAAGCATTCATAATTTACAAAGAAAAATCACATTAATATGCATTGGTTTTCTAAATTGCAACTTTATGGCGGTAATCTTTTTATTGAATATTTAAAAAAAGTTAGTTTTGAAATTACTTTTAAAAAATTAACATTTTATGCATAAATAAGTAAAACTTGTCAGACAGTAATTTATTTAGAGCATAACGATATGAGAGTGAAATTGGAAAAATTGAATGTTAGTGGTGAACAAAGTGAGAGTGCGCAATCATTACTAATCAAACCAATTCAACGAGTTTTAAAATATCCTCTTTTTTTACAACAAATCCGAGATAACTGCTTTAAAGGTTTAATTTAATTTAAAAATTTTACTTCTTCCAAGTTAATAAAATTATTTACAAATTTATAACTTTCAAAATGAAGTAAATTTTTCAAAATTGACAAAGTATTGACATCAATTTTTAGGATCCGTGGAGAGACAACAAAGTGAACAAGCGTTAATGAAAATGCAAGCTTTAGCAGAATACGTGAATGAAATGCAACGCTTGACGGAACAATATGGACCGACCATTGAAGAAATTTCTTTGAAAAATAAAGCAGTTCGTTAAATAGTTATCAAGTTTTCATTACTTAAATTATCTACCGTATAATTATGCTTTTTTACCCATGTTCAGAATGATTAAAGTTATTGAATTATACCAAACTCATTTATACATTTTCTGCCTTAAATTTATTCCCATTTTGATTTGATCTCAGAAAAACAAAAATCAATTTCAAGTTAAATTGAGTACTAAATAACTTATATATTTTTGATCATTACTTTTACTATAATTGCTACTGAATGCTCCGTACAATTTTGCCAGCAAAATTCAGCTGTTTTGATAAATCGAATTCCTTTTAAGGTACCGCGGATGAATTTCAGTCAATTACTAATGTTTGCACATGTAAATTGGTTAAATTGCCCTGACAACCGTTCACGTTCTGCTCCTTGTGTGGCCTTCGTTTTCACGTCATTAATTCTGATTTACTGTCCTACATTATCGAAAAATAAAGTTAATAATTAATCACTTTACCCTTTTCATCTTATTGAAAATATATAAGTGAAAAATTTATTAAACATATATCATCAAAATTACAATTCGTAGATTCATGCACATTCATTCTCTTAAGTCATACAGCATCAAGTTTGACTTCCATATGACTCTAATCAAAACACCAAATGTATTCACATATTCGTAAATTATTTCTAACTTTTTTTGATTAGTATAACTCATTTAAAATAAAATTATAAAATGTGGTCGAATTATTTAATGCTATTTTAAATTATATCGATTCAATTTTATTAATTTAATTCCAATTTTTGTTGTAATATTTCACTTTAATGACTATTATTTTTGATCTCAGGCGAAAGTTTATCGAATCTTACCAATTGCTGAAGTAGAAATAAATGAAAGCCACTTGGATTCAGCTCAGTCTCAATTTGTATTCATTCTTATTCATATAGGATCATCACGCGAACCAGTCTATCATTTGTGTTGCTGTCAAGCAGAAATTAAAAACCACTTCATCAAATCTATACGTAAAGCTGCTGCAACTATAGCGTAAGTTTTCTAATAAATTTTCATCGCTTTTTCTTTTTCACATTTCTAATCTCTCAGTACATCCAATATTAATTACATTACTTCAAATCATTACAAAGATAAACAAAAAAAAACAATTTCTTTCCGATAAATTTTGCATATTATATAAAAACTATTAAATAACTTGTGTACATCGCCACCTCAAAACGGGATCTTTTTTATTCACCTGGCCGTGAACACAAAGTCTAGAATTGAAGTCTACACTTTTGTAAGCCCTGAAAAAAGTTTACCGAAAATAAACCTTTAGATTCTTTGAAATGGTTGAAAATTTAAGCATTATCCGAACATTTTATCACTTTTCAAGCAGAAAACTCGGATTTTTTTCGTGATGCATTTAACAGCTGAAGTCACGCATCTTTATCAAATTACATCCATCTATTCTAAGAATCTCAAAAACAATGCACAGTTTTCGTTTAGCTTTTTCCTGGACCAAATTGCTTGTCGAGGCTACACGCAAAATCTGGTTTGACATGCAACTTTGATGAGTGATATTTTATTGCACACAATACATTATACAGTTGTACACAATGATAATTCACATTGTTTGTCTTTATTTAGTAACCAATCTTCAAATTAGCTATTATCCTCCCACTGAAACAAATTAAGCAAATCAGAGTACAAATAGATGAATGAATCAAATGATTAATATTTATTTCAAATTAAGTAATAAATATTTTGGATTTAGAATAAGCAAAAATTAAAAATTAATTATCTTCAATTTCAGAAAAGAGCAACGCCGACCAATAAGTGGTAGTAGTCAATCGGATGGTGGTTACAGTAGTGAAAAACATTTACTTTAATTGTATAATAAGCTTTATAATAATTTAATTATGTAAATAAATATCATTTGGGACAAATATGTGATAACTAATCAATTGTTCATAAAATTAAAACGTCAGTTATTCAAATATAGAATACAAATAACGAGAAGCATTTTCAAAACGACAAAATTTTCGAAGTAACTTGGAATTTGTATTCTAATATCAAATACAAATTAAATAGTAACAAAATTTTCTTTAAACATTGCCTCTTTTTGCTACTATTTTCAAATATATTTCTTATTGGAGTTATTTTTGCTTGAAATAATTGCCATCATGTTGATTTATGACAACAGTTTTAGTACAAAGTAATCACTTAATATTTCGCTGTTAAAAGAATACGAAATAATCAAAAACTTTTGCGAATTGTTTTAATTTTTGTTGAATAAAAAATAAATTCAAAGCAGAACATCAGTACAAATACAGCACGAAGATCTCGACAAGAAGAGAGCAACATCAATTTCTTATTCATTAAAAGTGCTCTGATTTAAAAACAACTTAATTGTGCTTGAACAATTTGACATTTTCTTCTATTAAATGAGCACAATTTTATGCAATTAAGAAAAAGTTCAATAAGAAAAATGCATGCATAATTATTTTGAAGACTTTCTCAGTGCTATGGCAAAAAATCCAAAAATTGAATGGAAAAAATGGATATGGACGAAAAGAATTAGAAAACTTTTCCTGCAGTATTTACGTATGAATTCACTTTTTATATGCAAAAGAGAATAATTACTGAAATAGAGCAAACAGTGGTGTCCGCATTTTTGGATGTTAATTCTTAGCTATTAATGAGACAATTTCTCATTTCATACTTTACGACAAGCAAAATGAATTGCAACTTCTTTAAATAAGATTAGATGAGGAAAATTCTCAACAAAGCACTAATATTGAAAGTACTGAGAAGTTTAATTTCATGAAATGAAACTTTTTCTTAATACATATTTCGAACTGTATCAAGTAAAGGGAACACATAAATTGATGAGTAGCACTTCGAGCTTTTTCCTTCCAAATTTTTACTTCACAAAATTAATTATTTATTAAGTTTTATTGTACAGATTTACTACGATCAATGTTTGCAGTATTGTACAGACTTACGATCACTGCTTGCATAGTCAAATATAATAACATTTGTATAATTTCTCTTTTGTAGCAATGATATGCGACACTATCTGTTTTGTTGTGTATTTCAGATCAAAAAACAATGAATTCATAGCAAATATGCATAATATGTACGTACATCTTCCTTTATCTGCAAAAGATCAATAATAATCTAAAGTAAAATCTAAAGTAGAGATTGCACAAATGGAATATTTTGGGGGAAGAAAATGAAGAGATTTAAAAATGTGTGAAGCGTCTGGCTAGCAATTAGTTGAAAATAGAAGGAAGGCAGTGGCGATTGAATGAATGCAAGCTTGAGTGACTCTCTCTTTTTACTCTTAGAAATGTCACTTTGTCTTTGTTCTCTTCGGAACAGTCATAAATCACATTTCAAACCGAGCACTGCGTTAGTTTGCTTGCAAGCAACATTGTTCAAAGGCTAAATTTTTCAGCATTGGCTAAGAGTTGAATTTAAATGAGCAATTAAAATGTATTCTACCGTACTCTGACAAAAGGGGTTTTGAATATTAAAATTGCTTATAAAAGTCTTAAGATTTCTTTACAAAGTAGTAACTTTTATCTGTTATTTAGTGGTAATATTGCTTGCAAAAAATCAATTCAAGTATATATATCGCAGGAATTTACGAATATTTGATGGTTTAAATCTTATGCACATAAGCTAGTTATTTCAAACCACTGATATTACAATTTTGTAGCTTCAATTAAGTATTCAGTGTTCGATTTTTTTAATAAATATATGCTATCAAAATCGAAACATACTTGGAAAATATGGATATTATCTTGTAAAAGTTCAAGTTTTTTTGAGATATAGCTAACTTAATATTGTTTTACAAGTTATCTTAAATTTAATCATTTATTTCACATCATGTTTTCAATTTTTTATACTAATCTTTATTATAGCAAGATACTGTTGATAGCTTGCAGTTTTCTACGTCTGGAAATGATTTCATTTACGTTATTTGATGCTAAAGTCAAGTTAGTTCTGCAGGCGACCACAAAACAATTTAATCTGTGTGAATTCATTACACACTGAGTAGTGCTTGAAAAATACGATTATCTTGCAAAAGAAAGCACTTAAGAAATATGCCATTCAGAATAATTTCATCTATTTCCTGACAATTATTTTGATAAATATAAACTTTGGTAGAAATGACACTTTTTTAAAACAAATATCCACTTCTAAAAGCATGGTAGCAGCAATTATATTGACTGCATTGAAACATAAATAGATAATATCTCTGATTTGCTTTCCATGCAACAACTCTTTCAGTTTAGTTAGGATAAAGAGCAGATTGAAACAATTTTGATTTATTGAGAGTTTTTGATCTCAGAAATATCTCAATTTTTGCAGTTTACTGCGGTCATTAAAAACACTGAAAATTATATTGATGTTACGAAACAGGTAATCACAATTACTGGAATATTTGCCTATATATATACGGCAAAAAGTAATTTTTACATTATCACTAGTATCAATGCGTTTTGAGTTCTAAACATATACTAAACGTAAAAAATGGTTCAAACTGTTTCTCTAATGTTTGTGAGAAAGAAAAGATTAAATTTCTTAGAGAGGGACTCTCTAACTACTTTGCTCCTACTGAATGTCTGAGAAATTAAATTTTGACATGATAGGTTTTTCAATGAATGATTTATGTCTTAAATCATCGCACAGGTTTATGTCTTTAAATTTGAAAGCTATGCTAAAGACTTATTGCAAATATCACTTACAAGGCTTCTCATCTGTATGCATACGCATATGAACTTTTAGTTGAATGACTGTCGGAAGCATTCATCACATCAAAAAGGTATTTATTTCAACAGTGTATGTATGATTTTTTCAAATTTCTAATATTTGTAAAAAATCTTTGGCAATCATCACAATGATATAGGGGGTATGGTGAGTTATAAGTTCTCTATTTAGTAAAATTCCCTCGAGCAGCTGTCATGTTTGAATAGTTTTTCACCAGTATGCCTCCGTAAATGTCCCTTCAATGTTCCAGGCTGCACGTAACGTTTACGACAGGTATTACACTTACATGGTTTTTCACTGTATGTGTGCGATTGTGTACCGTTAATTGACTGATCGTAGAAAGACGCTGAAAGCAGTTATCACACTGATATGGTTCTTTACCAGTATGCATTCTCATACGAATTCGTAAATTTCCAATACTTTTGAAGATTTATGGCTATAATTACAATTTATATGGTTTGTCATTAGTATGATGCTCATATGAACAGTTAAATGACTTCTAAAAAAACGTTAGGAGCAAATACCGCATTGAAATTGTTTTTCATCAGTATGAATAAAAATGTTTTTTCAAATTTCCTGACTGTGTGAAACATTTACTGTAGTAAGTGCAGTTGTATGGTTTATGACGAGTATGTATATACTACGTATATGAGCATTCAAATAACTTTTTGCAGCAAAGCTTTTCTAACTGTTTCATACACTGAAATAGTCCTTTCTCCACTGTGCATAAGAATATACTCTTTCAAATTCCAAATATCGCAAGACTTTTATCACACTGATTACTTACGTCCATGTATATTTAAAGTATTACGTGAAAAAAACTTTCCAAGCATTTCTCACACTGATAAATAACACTTTCTATTGATGTTTGTTTTCTTCTTAGCAGCATTTGTTTCCATCACATTCATTTGATTTTCTGTCATTTTGTATGTTCAAATGATTTTCCGAAGCGCTTGCATTAATGAAACATTTGGAAGATGGACTGCGCTCATTAATCTTTTTCTGACATATAGAATGTTTGCTGTGCATCAAATTTTCTCTCTCTCTACTGGTAGTAGTCAAGTCGTTGAAACGATTAATTTTTTAGTGAACGGAAGTTTGTCCATATTCATTCCATTCAGCAATTCTCTTTGATTAATCGAATCTTCCTGTAATAATGTGGAAAAAATAAATTAATAAATAAAAGCAAAATAATAAAGACAAAAAAAATTATATAAAATCAGTTAATCAAATCACTTACGATGGATTGTTTTGATTTTAATTTAGAAAGTACATGCAAAACATTAGTTCTTCCCACGTCATTAAATCATTTTTCAATTAAAATGTAGCAGAAAATTGTACATTTTTGGTTGAAATGGATGTCAAATATTAAAAATATTCAGTATATGATTATTATGGAAACTAATGCAAATTAGTCCATCGACTGCACATATAATCATGAATTGATATAAATTTAATTTCCGCAGCATATCACACAGAGCAATAAATACAGAATGATGCAATGTAAAGAAATAAATTACAAAAAAACAAATCATTTAGTTAAAAAATTTTCTCAAGTTTGAATACATTTAGCAATCAAAATACTAAACTGCAAGTTCTTCTTTCCTGGATAAACTTGTATATTTTAATTTCGTTGTGCTAATTTATATGCTGAAATACTTTGTAAGTATATTTATTAATTAATATCAACTACACGCTCTGAAAACTAATCAGAATTTTTTATGTTTTCTGATATGAATCTTATAACAGCGCATTATAAATGAAGTGATAAAAAAAATCTGATGAAATATGAAATTTCAAACTGCATTTTAATCAAATTTTGGTAAAAAAAATGATTTCTGGTCGGTTATGCTTATAAGCATCAAAAGTAGTGTTTATGCAAGTATACAAAAAAAATAAATGATTGATAATATTCTGTGATGAGTGAAAAAGTCTGATTACTTTTATCATTATATTAATAAAATACTAAACTTTTGCTGTAGCGTAAGCTAGTGTAGAAAAATTATCATGAAACATTAACTTCTATCTATCGTATTTTTCAGCTCCAATTTAGATATGGAAAAAAAAGTATTTTTTGTGCTACTAAATTTTTGAATTACGTAAGATTGCATTTGCATTATATGAAAGCAGTAAAATAATAAACAGTATTTACAGTGGAGCTAGTCATAAGAATAATTTACGCTGCATGAAGCCAAGTTTACGATATAGATATAACTGCTTGTAAATTGAAGAAAAAAGCATCATTTTAAATATGTTAAGTAATATTATGCAATAAAAATATATCACTTTAGTTCTGAATGCAGCAATAAATATATTAAATGCATTAGCACAAAATCACAAGTCGGTCATCTGTAATTGTCAAACTTGCGGTGCATATTTCGATTTGATTTGATATTCATCTGTTCCTTATTATTGTAGTAAAATTCGTGTACACATTTCAAGATTTAATCCATTTTTTTGCATTCAAAATATTGAGCACTTCTTAACGTGCAAACTGAACTGTATGAGAACATTGTGAAAAGTGGTTGTATTTGTGTCACATTACCACTGGCAAGCATTCTATAATCTATTCTGACCTTCTCTAATTCTTCATTTACTTAAAGTGTTTTAGAAAGGAATAAACTGAATTTAATCATGCCTTCAGTTTAATTGCTGCTGTTGAAATTGCTGATTCAAATTTGTAAGATAAATAAAGAACTGAGCATATTTTTAAATTTCTCTTTTAATTTCTTTTGCTTTCGTCTTGAATTTAATTTCTAAAATATTCAAATTTTTTCTGATAAAGCATTATTAATTGACGTGAATTTCTTTACATTAATTATAATTTGGTTGCATATCAATGTTTTTAGTGTTGGCAAA